CGGTTTTGGATTGCTTGCTCTAAGAGAAGTCAACAACCACATTATCCGAGTGTTTAAGTCGTCATCAGGAGAAGTCTAAATCTAAAGCCTTCTTCCAAGAACCAGCATCAACTTCCCAGGCCTATGAGTGAGCCGCTTGGGAAGCAGATCTTCCGGTCCCCATCATGCCTTTGGTTAACTGCAACCCTGACCAACCTCCGGAGAGGCCCTAAACAAAAACTACCTAGTTAAACTACACCCAAATCACTGATCTCCAGACATTGTGGGAGACCTACATATCCATATTGTTTAAAGACACTAAACGCAGTCAGTCATACAACAATAGACAATAAAATTAGTTAACTTGCCTAAGCTAAGTGGTTAGCAAATGGAACATTGAGAATTGAAGCCAGCCCTAAGGGACCCAGGCTTGAAGTCACATACTATAATTCCTTTCGTTGAAATGGAGTTTTTATTATCTATACCTCATTAAAGCTGATGCTGGAATTAAAATAGTTTATAAAGATAAAATATCTATTAAGTATTATGTTAAACATTGGTAGTCATTCTGTAGCAAATTTGATCATTATCATTAGAACTTTAAAAAATTAATACCAAAATTATAGATAAAAACACGGAAAAACAGTCTAATTCCATTTCTTCCAAGGGTATGTGAAACTATTTTAAAAACTTAAGAACTTTTTCCCTTCCTACCTGTGCTAGTCATTGAAGATTTCCAAGCTAAAACATATCATTTCTATAATACACAAGAACAAATCACGGAGTCTCACGGGAACTACACCGTACTTAGACTAAAGAGTCATTACACCCAAAAAAGATACAAAGGAAGACATATAGAAGGTAAGGTCTAGGAGAGGCCCCAGCATGGAGATTTCAGGTCCCCAGAAAGATGAGTCAGCCTTTTCCTTTTCACCAAACAAGAAGCCAATCTTAGCCTGCGGGTTAGTGCTCTTACTGGCCTCTCCTCATGGCCACAATAAATTACATCAGGCTTCCCTAAAGCAGGGGTCCTCAAACTTTTTAAACAGGGGGCCAGTTCACTGTCCCTCAGACCATTGGAGGGCCAGACTATAGTTTAAAAAAACTAGGAACAAATTCCTATGCACACTGAACAATTCGGCTACTAAGCAGGACAGGTAGCAGCGGCAAAAACACTCGGCGGGCTGGATAAATGTCCTCGGCGGGCCGCATGTGGCCCGC